GGCAACCTCCTCATTCGCACTGGAGCAGTAACACCCACATCCTGTCATCCTAAAATCCCATGTACCTTGCCTCCAATTCATACTTGTCAAAAATCGAGATTTAAAACATCTGCATACATGAAAGTGTCCAAGTTTTTAGAAGGCCTCCATTTAATTTGTTTTTTAAACCCACTTTTCACAGCATCACTTGTGAAATGAAGAACGTGATTTACCTCTTCTAATGCAAAGTCTGTGGAGCCCAGTATGTAGGTCAAACTACCACACCACCCTGAGAGCATGACTTAATAACCAACGGTATTCAGCACAGAAATTTCCAAAAATACCAGCAGGCCAACATTTTAACAGTCCTGGTCACAATAAATAGATCCTCCGATTTGCAGCTTTATGGAATGGAGAAAGTGCAAAGGCCCACTAAGGAAAAGTTCGATTTTTAAAAAAACCGACGTTGATTTGAAATTTGGGATCCCATAGAATTCGCATTGGCTTAAATATCGACGAGCCACATTTCACACAATTATTTTTTACCTTGAAGGGTCTTGTTGAGGCTCCTTCGCAAAAGTGCGAAAACTGATTCGATCAGCAGGGGAAAAAAATCAACAAAAATGAATTTCTGAGTCGAGTGTACCTCATTTACATAAAAGGGATGACTTCCGTAGTTTGAGTTGCCACTGTGGACCAGCGTAGCTTTCTCCGTACCGGTCTACCTTTGGGATTTTTTTCATGCGCCCGTGTCGCAGTAAGGTATGAAGAGAAAAAACAAAATTTATAACGATTTCATTTCGAACATGTTTTGAAGGAAGAATAAAAAAAGAAGGTAAAAAACGTCTTCCTTGGCAACTAGTGTCAAGACGACGCGTTCAACGTGACGTAGGCGAGGCAGCGTAATAATAATAATAATAATAATAATAATAATAATAATAATTGCATTTATATAGCGCATATCCATGCTCAAGAGCATGCTCTATGCGCTTTACAATTGTTATTACCCCAGCAGACCCTCTGAAAACACTCAGAAACTTTCTCAGCTTCCGAGGAAGCATACAGTGCAAATCTGCGGATTTCACGCGCTCAAACACTATCAAACTGACAAGATCTTTCACTGTCTATAGCTTGGTACCCATTCCCACCTGGGTGAAATGAGGAAAATTTGTGCAAAGTGCCTTTCCCAAGGACACAACGTCGGGCCCCTGACGGGATTCGAACCCACGACCTTACGGTTGCGAGTCCGAAAGCCTAACCACTACAGATATAATAATATATCTATGTCCTCGTTTTGAGTTTTTACGAGTTTTTTTGTGTTCTTGCTTTCCAGGGGCATCATCTATCACCCTACTTCTTTAGTTCCTGCTGGTGTTTTCTGTTAATTTTGTTTTCTGCCAGTGCACAAGGAGCATGTTTTTTGTGTGTGAGTGTTTTCCCAGGGGTACAATTGCTGCCGGCGCCTTATCTCAGACCAAGCCGCTGCCTGCCATCCTTTATTTCTTTTTTCAAAATCTTTTTCAAAATCCAGTTACTCTGTACCTAGTAATTGGGCTACGCTGTTGCCGCATATGTGTCGGCAATTAGTAAGTAGAAATAAAGAGTAAAATACACGACTGACAGGGATGCAGTAGCGGCGGTGAGCATTCGTCACCTACTTAATGACTGACACATGGGCTCGTGTGTTCTTGGTGTATACGTGTAGGTGTGACTTTATTTTTCCCCTTTCTGTTATAATATTGTTATTTTTGTGAGTATGACAGCGGAAAAAAGTGATCGGTCAGGTGTCAAGAAAGTTTCTAACGATTTTTCACAGGTTATAATTTATATCCCTCCTGTGCCGCTACACCGCGACCAGGTGCTGTCGGTGGCCTAGTGGTTAGTCCTCCGGACCCGAAGTCGTGAGATTGCGTTCAGGGGTTCGAGCCTCAGCTCGGTCCGACGTTGTGTCCCTTGGAAAGACACTTTACACGAATGTCCCGTTTGGCTCGGTCCTTTCGGATATGTACGTTAAATCCGGAGGTCCCGGTTCCTAGATAAACTTATAGTGTTGATAGGGGTGTTAAACCTATAATATTATTTCACCACGTTTACATTGCTATCATCGAGGAGTGTGTCCAGTTTAAACAGAAGTGAGGATTTTTCCCACAGTCCTGTCTTGATCCCAGTTATTGTGATAGTTTGGACATGGGGCACTTCTCGAAGAGGAGCAATTCGACACAGGCTCGATTTACATCTTTATTACTGAGAACACTTAATTTGGAGGTACGAAGGTCTTTTTCAGAAAAAGTTTTTTCCTCGGCTACTGGTTCGTCAACCGCAGTAGATCTAGTTACGACACCACCACCCCCCCCCCCACCCCGACCCAAACACACACACCCTCTGTTTCATAATAATTTATATTATACTCTAGCTAACCGAGGTGAGAATTTTGCTAGGAACCGAAGAAAACCTGGCGAACAGGCGCTTCCAAACAGCGGAGGTAAAAAAGCCTTTAAGGTCAACAATAAAATGGCTGCGCTTAGATGAAAGTTTACTAATCCCCAACTCGGATATTCAATACTTTTGAATGGGCCTAAAATGCGCAAACCACCGCAAACTTTATCCAGAAATAACACAGTGTAATTTAGGTCTTCCATTATGATTTTGAATGCCACTGAGTTTAATCTAAATATTATAGCGGTCGCTCGTTACCGAAGTAATTCTGCACAGTTTACGATGTCATTGTGCAAATCTATGTTGTGAAGAACCAACAGAGAATGCATCTTTTGGAGTAAATCCTAAAGTCCCAGTGGAAAAAACTTCTATAAAGCACCGCAAGGCACCCCCAATGAATGCTTTGGATAAGTGTCTCAAATATTAACATTTTTCAGACAACAGACGTGTAGGTCTATGCGTGGGGCGAGAAGAAAATTCTTCACTGACGGTAATGGAGGACAATACAGAAAGACATTTTCAAAGACCTACTCACTAGGTATGGGACGTTTGAACAATTTAGAGCCATTAGAATTTACTCGCTCTTGCTTTTGCAATTTGCAATGCACTGAAATAATTATAAGCGGATTGGAAATAGAAACAAAAGAACGACATTTGGACTTTCCTCCTGTTCTTACAAAAGGGGAGGACTTCCGTAACGAGCGACCACTATTAAATCTAGATTATATTCAATGGCTTCCAAAATCCTGATGGGAGACCGAAAGCCACTGTTATACCATCTGTTCATGACAAAATTACGGTAGTTTGCGCATTTTTTAGGCCCAGTTTAAAGTTTTGTAGGTCTGAGTCGGGGATTAGTAGACTTGAATCAAGGCGCAGCCATTGTTGATCACGCAGACTTTATCTACTTCC